AACTCCAGACGCGGTTCAACCCGAACTCAAGGACAACATGTATATTTAGTGACGCTCACCTTTCGTTAGGAGATTCTGTAATGTTGCGAGAATCATCTTCTGCTTGTTTCATAAAATTTTTCATAATTACTTTCAAAACAGGTGATATTTTTGTACCTGTGATGCACTGTTTTATTGTTATATGCTCACTGGATATCTCTATCGCACACTACACACTGAGTTATGCGAAAAGAGGAGAGAGAAGCGTTTGCCCGGTGAGAAAGGAGGGGCTTGCCTGCTACATGCATGGGAGAAAAGGAATCCAGACAGACTGGCGCCGTAACGCGTTACGTAACGAAGCGGTTTACCCTCATATAAGAAGTTATTACTTCAAAAACGATTGATCTGTCCAATGATGAGTTTAATCGATGAATATAATTTTGTAGGTCAGTGATGAAATTTTCTTTCGGAAAATTTTCTTGGAAATGAAATTGTAGTTACCGAACATCATTGAATAATACATACTTTCTGTAGAGGTATCTGCTAGTCGGGAGCCTATAAACTTCAAACAAGTTCGCCAGATTCAATTCCGTTGGATCATATGATCATATTTTCTGAAGTCATTTGAAAACGAAAGTATATTCCAATGGAATTGAAGATATTTGAGGCGTTGAGAGTTACCCAGAAAAAGCTAAAAACTGTTTACAAAGATTTCATCACTGGATATCGATGACTTTGAAGATGACCTTGAAGGTCATTCTTCCGCCATTACTGAACAGTACCTTTTTCAAAATGTTTTCGTTCCTCAACTAATTTTGACAAATACCTACTCATATATTTCTTCTATATCAACTTTCAATAGCAAAAGGGTAAATAGTTGAAACATGATATGTTCGGGTAGCAATTCAATGAATTTCATTACAAATACTTCAATAGTGATGCCGATAAATTCTGCAGTGTATTGATTTTTTGTCAAAAAACTTCTTAGAAAAGGAATAGACCAATTTACAGAATGAGTTGTTATAGTAATTTATCAGAAGAAATGAATTAATCTGAAATGTTACTTTGACCTCAAAATGATACTGATGAATTGATTCTGGAAGAAAATATCACGAATTCCTACTATTGAAAATATCAAATATATTCAAATGAGTTGTTAGTCTGGGCTTATTTGATATACAAAAATGTAGATGTAGGTATCCGAAAGTTTCACTATTCATAGAACGATAGAAGTTATCTTGTTATCGCAAAAGATAGTTCATGATAACAGTATCAAAAAGTGAGAGATACTATAGACCGTGATAAATGGCAAAGTTCGAAAATTGACATAAAATGAAATTTAACAAAAACAATTTTCCCATAAAACAGATGTGTAACACTTTTTTTGATGCTCGTTTTACCAATCAACTTTTCCAGCTCCTCAGCTCTGATATAACTTATTTATATCCAACAGAATGAATGAGATTTTGATATTTAGAAATGTAGATTTAAGCCAATATGTTTCATAGCAAATACATATAATTGACAAGTATATTTTTTCATATTATATGTGAATCAACATAATTATTATGATAAAAAACTAAAAAATTATTTTCTTTTAAATACAAGCATACACTTATTTATTTGCATGCTATTTCCTGAGCTTCTCAATTAATTAAGTTCAATGAATTAGAAAAAAAATTTAAAAAATATTGTTTTTGTCAGATTAAGCGAATCCCTCTAGATAATCGTCAGATTATGAGAAACATTTTGAAGCCACTATAAAAAAACTGAAAGACAGAATAACCAAACTTGCGAGACTAATGCCGAATATAAACGGGCCAAGTAGCCAGAAAAAAGCAGTTTTGTGTAACAGGAAAGTAAAAGACGATTACCGGAGGAATGTTATGTATTCGGTAAAATTAAGGATATGAAAAAACCCAACAGAAAAGAATTAAGAGCAACAAAACCATCGTTAGCTGTATTTATCACGATTATCAGAAAATCAAATGAATATGATAAATGTGTATAGATTGCGGCCAAGTAAAGGATACAGGGGAATGACAACAAGGCAGGAGAGCATGGGATGATTGCTGAAAATTTCGCAGTATTTGGTAAAATTGATGAGGAAATGATATAACTAGGTGTAAAGATCAGCGCTAGAGAACAGACAGAGAGTGATGAAAATACAACCAACAAAAAAAATAATAGTAGGTATTTCTACTACTAAAATGATAAAATCAAGCAAACAGGATATACGAGTGAAATTTTAATGTGTATAATTTTCGTCATAAGATAAGAACTGAGAGTTAAACTGAAACTTAAAAGTATGAATGTATACAAAGCAGGAGAGCATGGCTTTTAATTACTCCATATTCAAAAACTGTGGGAATCTTCCGAAGAAATGAAGAAGAAGATGTCTAGATCCTGTATAGAAGTTACTTTCAGGAACAAACTTGGATTAAATCAAATAAGGGTATGAATGTAATTGGTTACTGCCATCGAGACATAAGTAGATTTGTTTCTTTCGTGACATGAAGTCATAATGTTATGAATAGGCTGGTAGTCTGGTAGGTTAACGTGGGTGGTCAGTTCCATTCAGTCAATCGACCGCTGTGCAAACCGGTGATTCGAACCGCAAGGTCGGACGATGAATTTTCACTTCCTATCGTCCAACCCGTGTTAGAAATCACACGAAAGTAACTTGATTTACATATCTTTATGGGGTCAGCTACTTTCTTCGTTCTTTCGGAAGTTTCCCATATTTTTTGTATGGAATTGAAAAAGTAAAAAGCCAAAAAGCTTGTTACGCAAGTAAATTATATAAATTTCAGATTAACAAAAAATCAAATTCGATAAAAACTCAAAAGAGAAATTCCGGATCATATCGCTTTTCCTGTAAAACAGCAAATAGAGAACTCGCGTTCTCTGGGGTTTTAGTACGTATTCTTTCTGCACGGTCTTGACCGAAGAATCGTCGTACCTTATCCAGCAGTTGTAGCCGACGTGGAACGCATCGGTCTCGTAGTGTCCAATGTTGGCATTTTTGCCTTCGTGGTAAACGATGACGAATAGCTTGTATTGCTTCTCTGTTGGAGTCTGTGTTTCCGACGATACCAAAGTCAAATCATTCTTCAAGTCGAATTCAAAATGCAAAGCCTTGATAATCTCCGTGCAACGGTCGTGACTGTATTCGAAAAACTTCAGGTGCAAAATGAGGATAACGGGAAGTTTGCAGATGAATTTGCTCCCATGTTTCGACCTTCTCGTTTGTTTTCGACGAAGTCAGCCTCTCTAAACTGTTCTTGGAGACGAATACCTTGAGCGCTTCTCTGACAGTCTTCACTTTATCAATGTTGAGTGGCAGGGTGAGGAAAAGGCTGGATATTATCAGTAATGTGGTCTCCGTTACGATGAATACTCGACTTTAATTACCCCCGAAGATGTCAGTTATCGATGTACTGGTGACGTCGATCCTTCTGATTGGATATCCTTTATTTTTCGATTCCATAATGTTCAATTCATTATTTGAATCATTGCTCAAAGCAGAGTCAACGAGAGGTTTTTCATCTTCAATATAATATTTAACCAACTCCTTTAGCTCGAACATTTCATCATTGAGTCCATTCAAAAAAAAAACCTAAAAAACTCTTCCGCATCTTGTTGAATACCCTCAATCCAGTCAGTTCGCATGTTATACAATATTCTACGGTCCACGTCGGACCGAATGGTATGCCAGTGTTGATTAATACTTCTTGGTCATTCTTGGAATTTTTATCCACTCTCATGTCTTTCATCAGAATGTAGGAGCCTAGGTGAACAAACTATTCCATAATACGACACATTCCAAATGTAACCGGGGTAGATTTGATTCTCTCGAATTAGAATGTATTTCACCTGTTCAGTGGTATTTATATAAGTTTGGAAAAACGTTACAGTCAGAATTAGTTTTGACAGAAAACCTATCACTTTCCCATTCTGAAACATCGCATTTTGCTTGGCAGTAGACTACTTCTGGGAAGATTCAATAAACAAATAGAATTATGTTTAAACATATTGAAATAGACTATACTCTACTATATACTTCATTTCTTTGACTCCAGAAGATAATAATTTGAAGGTGGCCATGGAAGAAATTAATTGTTGTCAAAGAAATATTTTCTGCTGAAAATCCATCGTAGAACCTTCCAAAAACCAAAAATATTTCGAACAAATTTTTGTTGTTCACTGAATCATTGTCCAGATTTATCAAATACTTAGATACTAACAGAAAGATCTAAGATCCAACAAAATGTAAATTATCATTAGTAAAAAAGCTATTTGGCTCTCTTCTTTTGTAGAAAAGAAAGAGCCAAAGAAAGGAAGAAATCAATTGGGTTCAAAAAAATGTTAGCGAGAAGATCATGCATTAAAGTTTTTTTCAGATTCAAACTAGAAGAAAAAGACCTTTCGAAGCAATCACACGAAAAACACTTTCTCCGTCCAGTATGTTCTCTAAACATTCGTAATAGAATTGAAATAAGTAGAAACTAATTTCTTTTGAAAGTATATCCCTTTTCAATTTGAATTCTGTACATTCTGCATAGTTAGATGTCGGTATATAATGATAGTTGTAGAGTTATTCAAAGGATACTTCAACTTATCCACTGTACTTGCCACAAAATCATCAGAAACCAAAGAAACTCTTATTAACATAATTTCAAACATTGGAACTAACAAATGAATGAAATAAATGGAATATTGGCCAGCGTTTTATACTTTCACATAAACATAAAGTTATAATTATTTACTTCGAAACATTTGAAACTTACACAGTGATTTTCCAGAAGTAAGTGACAACTTTATATTTTTCAATGACGAATATTCTTTCAATAAATTGATGGATGCAGCCGTTATTACGTGGTAAGGGATCAACACAAATAATCTTCATGAAAATAATCGTTTGCTTTCAGTTTTCTGATAATGCTGAATTTTTTTATAAAAAGAGGTGAACATACATAATGATGCTGTTTTTCCAGATTTTATAGGATAACCAAACTAATGATTCGTTTTTTTTGTATATTTCACCAGAATAATCTAAAATTTAAATAATAATTTCTGATAGTGAATATACTCTCAATACATATCGAATAAATATATGAAAATGAATAAACAATTGGTATATCCTAATAACTCAACATACAATTATAACATACAACAATAAAATTCTAATAAACTTCTCAAATTTGTGCATTTTCCAACGAAATAATATAAATCATCTAAAAAATAATTTCTTTCGAAATTCAAATTTGTTTTCCGCTATGTTTTCAAGTGCTAAATAGTCATTCATCACAATAAATTAGTCAGCTCTACTGTAGAGTACTTTCCAATGTGGTATTTATGGGTAACTATCCACTGTAGTTCCAACTAATTTTTTCCGTTCAAGCATTTGTTGATGAAGTTATAAACACTTTTCATATAACTTTGTCTATTTTCTGGCAGATGCTTAACATGAAGACTTGTATCGTAGCAGATAGTAGTAACGTCTACCCCCATTTTCTTTCTGAAGTCTGCGAAATATTCGATATCCTGAAATATAAGGAGAAATTAGACACAAAACTATTCCTAGCACCTAATTTAGTTTGTATTATAAAGCGCGTCTGTTGTTTTTAGTTGTTCGACGTTTCGGCTTTGACTTTGAAGCCATTTTCAAGACGGTATGACTACACTGAGGTCTCAATCAGCCTACTCCACAAGCTTTGAGGGTATTGTTTGGGAGAAGGCAGATTGAGATCCGTGCGGAGACCAGTGACCTGGAGACCTGGGGGTAGGCAGATTGAGACCCTGGTGGCAAGTTATAAAACCCTCAAAGCGTGTCACTACCTGAGGAGTAGGCGAATCGAGACTTCGGTGTAGTCAAAAAAAAATAGCTTCACAGCCGAAACGTCGAGCAACTGAAATAAAATTGACAGTAATGAATGGGGGTAAGGCACATCGATTGATATTTTTGGTTGGTATCGCATTCAATGAATGCTTTTTATACAACGTTTGTTATATAAACAATTTCAAACCACTTATTTCAAAAACAATACCCTGAATATGCAGCTGAAAAGATGTCTGAAAACTTCTGGTGACAACTGTAGCCATCAATACCACTAACACATATAAATATGTCTGCTGCTACAAATACATCATGGAAATTACTATCTAGAGGTTGTCGAACAATGTAATTATTTATCTAAATCTCCATAAAAGTAAAAACAATTCTTTCAACATATCAGAAACTGCATGAAGAATATTCAAACAGCATCTGTTCAGCATTCAGAATAACTAATTCTCGATAGTCCTGAAAAAGGTTTCAGTTATTCATATATCTCTACATCAACTCCTCTTTTCTTTTTTGTCTCCTTCATTCATCTTTTAAATAAATAATCGATTGTAATAGTGATAATAATATAATAATAATATAATTTGGAATTCCATTATAATTATGTCCATCAATAACATATTTCACGTTAGTGTCATAATGAATATCGATATATACTATTGTTATATCAATAATTTTAAGGATTTTTTCGAAAAGAAGTTATGAAAAACTGAATTTATTTTATAAATATCTAACATTTTATTGAATACACTGATTCGTTACTTAATGGAATTTATTTACAGTATCCATGATGATAATTGAATGATTTTCACACAATAATTTTTCTTCAAGACGCGTTTCACTACACGGTTGTTTCATCAGTAGAACTGGTACATTAAGTTATTCTGCACAGTGCCTTTTTATATAACAGTAGATAGTTACAAAAATCTATCAAATAAATTAATAATTTAGATAAAACAGATAAATTTCTGAACAACTATTACAGTGAAATTTTACTTCTAGGAAAAGAGATAATTTATAAATATGCTTTTTTGGCATTTTATGAAAACGAGTTTGACAACGGTGAGTGAATAACTCCTTCTTGGTTGTTTGAAAAAAAAAATTGAATGTTTGCTCTCATTGATTCCCAGAGATTCCAGAAGGTTGATTTTTTGTCCTCTATTTTTGTAGTCTTCTTTGAAATCGTGTTTTTTTCTTGAAGGTAGAAAGCATAGGTGCGATTGGTTTTCTTCAGTTGAAACCTTCTGTTTGTTCTAAAATTGTCGTTTTGAAATTTTTTGAAGCCCTTTCTATATAAACTTTTTGGTTCGTTCCATATGTTTGAAAACTTATAATTTGTTATATTTGTCCCTGTTTAACTTGTTGTTCTTTATATGTGTATTACATGCTATATTAGTGTTCTCTTTTGTTAGTGGTCTTTATTTTTTTATCTCACAATGTCTATTCGTATTGTTAAAATGATATAAATAGTCATGTGCCCATTTAAAAATGTTTCTGATGTCAAATGACGCCAAACAATAAAAATTTGAGAAGAAAATCACTTCTAAGTCCGTGGAATCAAAAATATACCTCGAAATTTACTCACCGTATGGGGAATGAGATTGTCATTTTTTGAGTAAATGAATAATTGTGGCCATTTGTTCTTCTCATATTTCAAATTCTCCAGTGGATTTGACTGGAAGTTTGGCCTCGGATAAATACAATTACTGATAACCTGGAATCGAAGTAAATTTTTTAAGATTGGAATAACAACTATTTGGCATGTATACTATTTTCATTTTCACTCTTTCATTTCAATTCATTGACAAGAGTATTTCAATACAAATACACTCTTATGGAATTGTGTGTCCATGAACTGATAAAAAAATGTTTTATTTCAAATATGTTTGGAATTTTACACACTCAGTAATTTACGTAAGGCTTTCTACTAATTGGCAGAAACAGCATTGGCCATGTTTCAACAATATTTCCAATCTCTAAAATGGAAAATCTTGGAGAAGTTCGCAATAATATATTATCCTCTTTAGATAGCATGGTTGGGTTATCAGCTCATTCAGTAGATCAGTTGAAAGGATTCAAAATGATGTTTCATTAAATTCAAATTCATAACCGCGCGCTTCGGCTATTTTACGGTCGCCTTAATCCTCCCACCCAGAGGACTATTCGCAATGTGATGGATAAATTTGAGTCCACTGGTTTAGTTAGCGTTCGATCAACACCCGTACGCCGAAGAAACGCAAGATCTGCCAAAAACATCGCCGCTGTCTGTGAGAGAGTGCAGAAGAAATCGAGGCAGTCGATTTCGCGTCGCTCACAAGAACTCGGCCTGTCGCAGACCACCACTTGGCGAATTTTGCGTCATGACCTGAATCTGCACCCGTACAAAGTTCTACTGACCCAGAAAGTGAAGGTAAACGACCATAGACAACGACGTGTGTTCGCTGAATGGGCTATGGAGCATTGAAAACAAAAAAACAAAATTGTCGAATTTGGGACAATACCAATCCACATGATATCCAAGAGCGTCCAATGAGAGCATCATCGGTCCATATTTCTTTGAGAAAGACGTTGACCAGGCCATCATTGTCTTCTTGACTTGATTTAATTGATCTGGACACCAGCGACATGTGGTTCAACGGGACGACGATATATGCCACACAGCTCATGTCTCATTGGATATTCCGCGATTTGAGGGCATAGTCATTTCATGTGGAGGTGATATGAACTGGCCACCGTAATCGTGCGATTTGACCCCATTAGACTTTTTCTTGTGAGGTTTCTTGAGTCGCAGATATATGTGAATAAAACACAGGCCAGAGCGGTCCTCAAAGCCAACATAACCAATGCCATCGGTCATCTCGTCAACTTTGTTTTTTATTATTTTCAATTTATGGTTACTCTCATTCCATTCTTGATTGCATTTGTCTCTTATTTTATTTTTGATATATGTTTTCATGTCTTCAGTTCTAATTGGTATGTCATTCAAATAATTTTGTCCAGTAGCATCGCGGGCAGCAGTATCTGCGAGTTCATTACCGGCTAAAAAAAATATGTTTTGCCAGAGTTCAGGAGGATGTGGATTACATTTGATATGATCTGGATTAGAGGATCGGTATTGTAACTATTTTGTATGGCTTTGAATGAACTACAAGAATCAGATAGAATCAAGTAAGTAGTTCCTTTTTCCAATGTGTCAATAAATCTCAATGCTTGGAAAATAGCGTATAATTCAGCTGTGACTATCGATGCTATTGTGTTCATGATCCATNTATATATTATGGTACTATTTTCATATATGTTCATGATCTCATGGAATAGTTGGAAAAATTGAATTCGATTGGTATTTTCTTTCACGAATCTATCACATTCAAAATGAAATTTTGGCGTAGCTAGTATCCAAGGGGGTATTTCTCCGGAAGAGGAAGGAAACATTGGTGGTAACTCAATATCTAAAGAATCTAAATCATCTTCTACTCGTTTCCCTACTGATTTGTTTGCTGGTGCTTCATTGTAAATGATCGGAAGATTGTGATGACTTGGTTGGGACCATATTTTAACTGCATAATTCAATTTGTAATAGATTTAATAATTGCAAGGAATGATCTTTTACTAATTACTTTGATCAGACTTAACTTTTCTCTGCTCAACAATTCTCACCTCATATATCCATATCGTGGATAAAAACATCGTCATTATAAATGACATGAAGACATTATAAAAAACATTTCCCTGCAAAATGGCAGATATTGCTCTATAAAGACTAATAATTCGTCGCCTTCCTGGTGCTGAATCGAATATGACTCCTTTGATCTGAAACAAAACAATATTTAAAACAAATTGGAGATTTGAATGCATTGTACTCATAGCGAAGGAAAAGTGCCAAATATTTCAAAAAATATCAGAAGGCAGTTAAAAAATATTAAATATTTTAATGGATCATTGATCGAATGTGTGAAAGTGTGCCGTTCAAGTTCAAAATGTCAGTCAATATACAAATTACCATTTTAAACATTAATGTAAACATGAATAATAAAATGTATTGTATACTAATACTGGTTGTTGCCCGCGGCTTCGTCCGCGTAGAATTTGGTTGTTGTAGTACTAATTAGTACTATGTTGCTGTATCGCTGCTATTCCAATATTTTGACAGAATCAGAATCAACGAACTTAGGCGTGCGCAGCGTTATAGAACAGTGCTTTCAAAAAATTGTAGTGCCATCTAGTGGCGAGTTACAGAAAATTTGATAGCCTAAAAACCTCCTCAATGAAAAATTACCTAAACATGTCATCCATTATCTATTCATCACAATCGGTTGAGATATGTAGAAGTCTATCACTTACCAACCAACTAACCAACCAACCAACCAACCAACCAACAAACATCCATTTTTATATATTAGATTGAGACCAACGATATAGTGTAGTACAAACAGTAATAAATCTAAGATTCACATACATAAAAATCAGAAATGCAATTTATTCACATTTTCTGGTGTTTAAGCGGAGTTAGTGATCCTTCTACCTGATTCATATAAATATTTCTTCAGATGTTTTTTGAAAGAGTGTATATTCATGATTGATTTTATATTTTCAAGGATGTTATTGTACAACTTTGGTGCGAGGTAAGAATACGATTTTTGGGTCGTTATTTTAGACATAAAATGAATGACATAATGTTTTTTTTGTCATGCGTCGTATCGGTGATTTGGTAAATGACACTGTTGTCTATGTGAATGGTATATGATGCATTTGTTGAGATAATACAATTGTCTAATATCAAATATTTCTTTAATACAAATAGATATTTGTTGGGTAACCAGGGTGTTTTGAATGAATGAGTTTTGAAAATCTTCTTTGTATTACCTACTTTTTAAATGTGAAGATGAATTTTTGGAGCTGCGCCCAGCATTTCATACCGGAGCTGTATTTCTACTAGTGAATAATACACTGTAGTAAGATATTTTTTCAGGTATGATGTTTTTTGATTTTCTGAACTTCTACAGTTGTTGAGTGTGGGGAATTATATAGAAAAACTGAGATATTTTCGGGACTGTTACAGTTTTATTTTTACTATCTCAAAAACAACTGTCCTATCATGTGTAAACAAACTTGTAACTAACAAACTCAAATTGGCATAAAATATACAGCATGTAATGAAATCACAAACGATGCTGCAACTCTCGAACTCCAACATTCTCCCACCTTTTACAATGTTGAATTGCAAAACAGCTAACTCATATATCGATCAGGAATCTTGACCAATCGTCCTGACCTAGTACATACAAGGACGGCTTTCTCTGGAACCATTTCTTCTCCTGTAGTTGAAGATTGTTTGCTTTCCTGATTTGGANTCGCTGGTGCTCATACGGAGTTACTTTGAAATTTGAAATGAGTCGTTTTACGAGTTTACCTAGTCGTATTTCTGGTTCTCCATTAGAGTTTGAAATTTCTAGTGGGTAGATTCGTTGAAACGGGCGTATTAATTCACCTGTAGCTGATTTGATTCGAGCTACTCTGGCAATCTTGTCCTTTCCAGGGTAAATTTCTATTATTCTTCCTATCGGCCAACTAATTCTCTTGGTATTGTCAGATCCATTCAAGACTACATCACCTATAACCAACTTATTACATTTTCTGTATCCTAAATGTACCAAATTTGCCAGATATTTATTCTTGAATCTCTCACGAAGATTTTCTCGAATCTCTTCTTGATGCCTGTTCTTCCAATTTGATCTATATCTGGGCTTCTGAGGTTGGGATGCTCTGTAGAAAAGATGACGGTGTTACGGAAATTAGTTCATCTGTATTGTCCGAAACGTATGTGAGTGGCCTTGAATTTATAATCGATTCGCAGTCACAAAGCAGTGTCAGAAGTTCTTCATAATCGACGGTTTTCTTTACTAGATTTCTTCTCAAAAGTTCCTTGATCATTCTCACGATACGCTCCCATCATCCACCTCACCAGGGTGCTGAAGGGACGTTGAATTTCCAGGTGATTCGTTGAACTGATGAGTGTTTCAAAATGTCTTTCCAATCTAAGTTTTTCATTTGGTTATTGGCTCCCACGTAATTGGTTCCGTTATCGGAATAAATCACTGATACTCTTCCCCTCCTCAATAAATCGCAATAAATCGTCTTAGTGTCTGTAGAAAAGCTTCAGTTGAAAGAAACTGCACTAATACAAAATGGCATGCTCGATAAACGGCACAAGTAAAAATAACTATCCAACCTTTTCACCATTTTTCAAATACAGAGGTCCTGCAAAATCTGTACCGGTTATCTCGAAAGCTGCGGAAATTTTCAATATATCCCTAGGAAGTGGAGCAAACAGAGTTTCTAATGAATTGACTCTGCACCTTTTGCATACAAAACACTTTGAAATAACATCTTTGACCACTCTTCCAGCCCCAATTATCCAAAATCTCTCACGAATTGTTTGCAGAAGCACTTGCACTCCACAATGACGAGAAATAATGTGGTTTTCTTCAATTAGTTTTCTTACAATGATATGTTTGTAAGGCAAAATAATAGGAAATTCGAAAGACTGAACATCTTCAGAAAAATAAAGTTTGGTTTTTACTCTAATTAATCCACTTTCATCCTTAAAAACATTGATATTGGATATTTCTACAGGAGTTGTACTTCCAAAACTTTCATTTTGGATAATTTTAAGTAGACAAATTTCCGCCTTAACAACTTCCTCATTCAACAACTCATCATGATGCATTTTCACTCTACGACATCTTTTAGAGAAACGAGTCATCCATGCACCCATTCTGACTATTTTCGAATACTTGGAGAAATAATTGAATGAATCAGAAGTCACATCGTTTTGGCTAACTAATTGTGAAATCATATTTCTTCTGCACTCATCATATGCCTTTTCATCAGAAAATTGTTGATTTAATGCTGGCCAAAACTGCATATCTTTCTTGAGCCACTCAGGACCCTCCCACCATCTGGATTCTAATAGACGCTTACAACTACATCCTCGGGATGGGAAATTAGAGGCATTCATATCTCCCGGAACATGATTCCGCTGATTAATATTTGTGCTTGCTCTTATTTCATTTACTCGATTCATAACAAAAGTGGTTCAATTTGACTTTGTTTTAATCCATGTGAGAACAACTGTAGAATCGCTCCAAAAATAAGAATTCAATGTTTTGAAATAATCAACCTGAATTACGAATTGATATAGCCTACTTACAGAAGTCACATCGTTTTGGCTAACTAATTGTGAAATCATATTTCTTCTGCACTCATCATATGCCTTTTCATCAGAAAATTGTTGATTTAATGCTGGCCAAAACTGCATATCTTTCTTGAGCCACTCAGGACCCTCCCACCATCTGGATTCTAATAGACGTTTATAACTACATCCTCGGGATGGGAAATTAGCGGCATTCATATCTCCCGGAACATGATTCCGCTGATTAATATTTGTGCTTGCTCTTATTTCATTTACTCGATTCATGACAAAAGTGGTTCAATTTGACTTTGTTTTAATCCATGTGAGAACAACTGTAGAATCGCTCCAAAAATAAGAATTCAATGTTTTGAAATAATCAACCTGAATTACGAATTGATATAGCCTACTTACTATTGATGCTGCTAATAATTCCAATCGTGGTAAAGTGACACTTTTTTTGGGACTTATACTCGATTTAGCTTGTAATAGATGACTGTGAATGTTTCCATTTTCTTCTATATGTAAAAAAATGCAGAGGCATACGCCAACTTACTTGCATCACAAAAAATATGCAATGAAGCATTTCGCTGGGATTGATTCAGTTTGAATAAGGCACGTAGTATGCTACAGAAATGCAATAATTGGATTTCTTTGAGCCATTTTCTAAAACTTTCAATAATTTCCTAAGATAGTTTAGAATCTCAATTCATTTTTAACTTCCACGTTTCTTGTAATAGTAACTTTAGAACTGAAGTTACAGGGCAAGTAAACCCAATTGGGTCGAAGATGCGTTGTGCTGCTGATAATAAACCCCTCTTTGTAGTTGGAATGTTTATTAATTCATTTAATACATGGACATCACATGACAACGTATCATTTTCGAAATTCCATTGTAACCCCAGTACCGAAGTTATGTTCCCTTTTATGGGCAATTCTTCATCATTTTCTAGAAAAATCTGTGGGCCATTGTGAACCCATCCCCTTAAATCAAATTCACCCGATGACATCGATATTCTAGCTTCTGAAATGAATTTTTCTAATTCCTCTCTAGTATTAACACTAGTAACACAATTATCTATATAAAAGGAGTCCATGACTCAAAGCTGTTTCTTTTAAATTTTCACGAGACATTTTTAAATGGTAAGATAGTGTAGCTGCTAGCAAAAATGGACTTGATGATATACCAAAAACTACTGTAGTGAGGCGATAAACTTTCATTATTTTTAATGAAGAATCTTCCCACCAAAGAAATCTAAGCATATTTCTATATTCTTCAGCTATACTTATTTGCAAAAATGCCTTTTTGATGTCAGAAATTACTCCAATCATCCCAAGTTTGAATTTGAGAATTATTGAAATGAGTTCAATTATGTTTGGTCCCTTCATTAGACAACTATTTGAAGAATTTCCGTTTTTATCTTTAGATGATGCATTAAACACAGGTCTAATTTTTGTTGTGAAACTTGAATCTTTCATAACTGGATGATGCGAAATATAATGTTCTCCTTTATTACTGTATATCAGTATGTATTTGTTCAATAATCCGTAACTTTTCCCACTCCTTAAAAACTTGGTTGTACTCCCGATATTTTGCTAAATTATTTAACCGTTTAGTAGTGGAAAAAGGCTACTCTCTGCAATTTCTCTATTATCGAATAATTTAGGGTGATTATCGATCCACGGTAACTTTATATAAAACACGTTTTCTTCCGGATATCGATTATCCAACGTACAATTCGCAGAACAGCAATGCTTCGTTGGCATTATACTAGCACAAAATAATTTTTCATATCAGATTCATATTTTTAAATAATAAATTAATATTACGTAAATAACACTGTTTACATGTGAATAGTTTATTGTTTGTCCCTACTATTAGTGCTGCCTCTCGTGACACGTTTGCTGTACTATTCTCAGGAAAAAGGCTCATATTATAATGTCAATATCTTCAACTAGTTCAACAAATTGGCGAAACTTTTAATAACTGCCTGAATACATTGACATTTAACTACATAATATGAGATAATAAGCTTGAGATCAGTTCAAAAGATGCTAGAAATGGTTGCCTTGAACTTCTTGACAAATGAACAGCCCATCCGATATTTCACGCCAAGCATTTTCGAACACCGTAACGTTAACATCTCTACAAATAATTTTTATTCTCTGCCGTATCTCCGAAATTGGAACAAGTTCAGTTTCGTACACCTTTTGCTTCAAATAGTCCCATAAAAAAGTCCAAAGGTGTCAAATCTGGCGAGCGTGCTGGCCATTTTGTAGGACCTCGACAGCCAATCTAACGACCGGGAAAAGTAGTATACAAATAGTTTCTTACTTGTCTGGAGTAATGTGATGGTGCTCCATCTTGTTGAAATATAATATCCATATCGAATTCATTAGGATTCGCTTCGACAATTTCAGTGATGAGAGGGTCAACAGTAGTTTCCGGCATATTCAAATACAGTTCCTCTGTTGAATTTTGATCAATAAATAGAGGTCCTACTATATGGTTTCCCAATATTCCTACCCAAACGTTAATTTTTTCTGGATATTGGGTACGTGTTTGCCGGAAAACGTGAGGCATGGTGTCTTCCAATAACGGCAATTTTGTCTGTGATCATTGCTGGTTGAAAAATGTACATTCGTCACTGAAACAAATATTGTGGAGATAGGTAGGATGCTTTGCAATGGTTTCCGTCATGATTTCACAACATTCTGTTCTCCGATCAGAGTCATCTTCAGTTAATTGGTGTACCAATTCAATTTTGTATGGATGATACCTACTCACCTTCAAAAGTCTCCAAACAGTAGAAGGAGATCACCAAACATTCGCGACGGAATAAGTAGACTGTTCAGGATTTACTACCATCTCACCAATTATTTGCATTTGCTGTTTTTCCGGAATGGACAGATGACCTGGGGGTTTTTTGTTATGTACACTACCGGTAGTTGTCAATTTGGATATAAGTTTCCTCAAATATTTTCTACCGATAGGACAATGCGGAAAACGTTCATTGAAAATTCTTTCGGTCTCGTAAAAGTTACGCGTCGCACAATAAATAAAAATCGCTTCAATTTTTTCTTACAATGGACGAGAATTGACCATTTTAGAGATTGCTGGCATGGTACCTTTCTACTAGTAAAACCGAAAACTAAATGAAAATATTCTAACTGAGCAATAATGTTCATTGTCGTACTGACATTTTTTGTCGTTTTTATTAACAAAAAATAATAAACCTTATCGGGTTGTTGGAATTGCCACATGGCAGATGAAAAAGAATATTTCTAGAAAAATGTTCCGCTATTTTGTAGTAGGTGAAGACATTGACTTCATATTCTAGGGTTGTGAAGAATTCGTCAGGAGCTTCAAAATGATGTCATTTAATTTTTTTTTCCAGATGGCGCCCAGTCGCCAACTTGAAAGTTTCATCTGTTAATTTCACTTCAAAATAAAGTATTCATGCATTAATTTCATTATCCCAAATTTCAATTTTATGAGTTGACCCGTTCAAAAAATAAAAAAGGGGGGACATTAAAGAAATGCACTGTATATTCAAGTAAAAACCTAATTGTGAGATTTCCAGACAGTTCACAAAACCGCAACACGTGTTTCACTATACGATAATTCTTACTGTTTTACTGGAATACGTTATGGATTTTCACCACATATTCCAATGAACGTTTTCAAAATTCACTTTCCTAAATTATTAAGACTGTTCACAAATCAATTTCTTACATTATGAAATGTTCCTGGAGTAAATTCGTTGCAAGCACATCTTTTTTTCATACATGAGTTCTGTATTGTACTACGGTTTTTATTCACCATAACAAGCCAAAATAAATACATCAAATAAACATCTAGGTGTATAGGTGAAAAGGCAGAGTTTTAGCAAAGGCTGTTTTTCAACCCAACCTAATATCGTATACTTTAGATGTCACATAACCTTTCGAAATCACCTATAGACTTCATATCAGGTGATCTAGTAGACTATTCTAAGGAAATACGTCTGCCTGTCTACCGGCGTGAATGAATGACAAACCCAAATTTGTTTTTAACTGATGTTATGTTTCAGCAAGATGATATACTTTCTCATCACGACAAGCTGTTTTGAAAGTGGGTAGATAAAGATGATCGAAACCGGTATCTAGGCAAACGTGGGTCCTTAGAATGGTTCGCTAAGCATCCAATTTGATGCTCTCACATATTTTGGGGTTTAGTGAAATCTGAAGTGCTAATAATGAAATAACCATACCATCACCCAGAAATGAATATTTCAATAAATATTGTCATGAAGTGGTTGATGAATATTTTCAGCATTTATTGAGATAAATTGGAGTCTTTTGAATTCCTTGCTTCTTGATATAGTGATATTCATCACTAGTTTTCAATTTTTTAAAACAAATATAAAATTACCAATGAATGACTGTTTCAATTTCCAAAAATAAGAAAAACTCATCAAACCTCCCTACCGCAATACCCGATTTTCCATTAAAAAGTTAATAGCTTCCTCTCCATGACAATTTCTTTCAGACGTTTCGCTGGTGCTCGTGGCTAGCTTGTTTAGAGGATTATACATGTATAAATCTGAATTTCATATCGGCCAAACTGGAAGAACTTTCTCCAAAATAATAAAAGAGAATAAAAGTAGTTTTTTGGATGAAGGGACCAATTCAACATTTGCAAACCAACTTTCAACAGAGGGTACAAATCGAATCATGATTATGACGTATTGCATTCGAAATAAAAAGGTTGGAAACTCAACCTTTTAGAATGCTCAGACTCAATAGATTTAAGAATTCGGGATTATTGAATTCATTTTACAATGAGGAAATTGGTAATAAGGATAGATCTGAAAAATAGGTAAAATAAGGTCACAGGTAAAATTTGTATTCATTATTCTCCAGTTCAATGAGTTGTTACTAGAAAGGAAAATATTTTTTATAATGAATTCATCATGTAGAAATTTGTCAGGTAATGATCATCATTAGTATTCAACTAGCTATAAGAGCTTGACACAGAATACGATATTACATGACGTTTGTCGATAATGTTAACAATTATGCAAGTTCAAAGGGCACGTTTATAATATTCGAAATGGATACAAATGTTTTGGAATGAAAGGTTTTGACTTTCTACTTCTCCATCTTTGAACTATAAATGTGTGAAATCTTCCAAAGAAAGTAAGGAAGCAATCAATTTAAAAAAATCAACTCTATACAAAAATCAATTTCTAAATTTCTAATCTCTAAAAATATACCGTATATTCACTCACCTGTAGAGGTTTCGGACTTTTGTTCAACGCCAAAGAAAAATTTTGGTACATGAAAGCTCCTCCGTTAGAAAAGCAATGAACAATAATGGGATTATTATCGAAATTCAGGTCAATTAAAAACTTCACTAAATTCTCTGCTATAGTAATCATCTGATATCTTTTCCAAAAGAGGCATTTCACAGGGGCAATGTACCTCAGAGTAATGAGCCTGAAATAATGAATCATAATATATAGAAGTAATAGAGAATGTGGTCTCAAAAAAGTATTTCGTGAATAGAGTAATGTACACTTGAAAAAAAGTTTTTTTTACTTCCTCACAATAAAATTGAATTGACAATCGTTACAAGTACTGAATTACACAGAAATCAGGAATTAGTTTTTCAGTGCGGATTCCTGCTTTCTTTCCACCTATTATAGTCAAGTACAATTCCCTCGATTCGTAATTTCACAGAGAGTGATTTGAAATCAAAGCCAAGTTAGTCTAACAAAGGGCTCAGTCATTTCAGAAACCTCACTTGTCACTATAGTAAAAACACAAAAATTCGACAATGTTCTATCACGTTTGCAATGATTTATAATGGTGTGTATGGTATGGTGTGTAGATCTATATTACATTATATAGGGTCTTTCGTTAAGCCCTTCCTAACTTTTAATTCAAATAAAGCAAAGTATGCAGGAGATATCATCGAAATTTTTCATTTGTTTTGAAAGACCTATTGATGCCATTATGTGTGGAATATAATATCGTTCAAATGTCCACCACGCCTTGTGGCTTTTTTGTATATACCAACAACTTAAGAAACTCCAGAAGAAAAAGTCTAACGGGGTCAAATCGCACGATCTCGGTAGCCACATCACCTCCACATAAGATGACCATGCCCTAAAATCGTTGGCGCAGAATATCTAGGGTGGCATAAGCTGTGTGACACGTAGTCCCGTCCTGTTGAAACCACATATCGTTATTGTTCAGATCATACAATTCAGGCCAAAAACGTTGGTAATCATCGACGTACAGTGCTTGCTGTTGACAGTGATGGCCTGGCCAACGTCGTTCTCAAATGAATATGGACTGATGACACCACCAGCCCAAAATCCACACCAAACAGTGACTTTTCGGAATATATCAGACACTTTTGAATCTCATATGGATTGGTATCGTTCAAAATTCGACAATTCTGTTTGTTCACGTACTTCAGCCTCATTGCTGAAGATGATTTTTCGATGTTAATCGAGGTCAATTGCCAATTGCTCCAGAGACCATTCAGCAAACGCACATCGTTGTCTATGGTCGTTTACCTTCAGTTCCTGGGTCAGCTGAATTTTGTACAGATGCAAGCCCAAGTCACGACGTAAAATTCTTCAAGTTATGGTCTGCGGAAAGTCAAGTTCTTGTGAGCGACGCGATATCGTCTGCGTCGGGTTTTCTGCACACTCTCACAGAGTGTGCAGAATCTGCGTGTGCGGATCTTGCGTTTCTTCGACGTACGGGTGTTGATCCACTCAAATGTATCCACCACATTACGAATAGTCCTCTCGCAAGGACGAGTATGGCGACCGTAAAATAGGTAAAACGCGCAGTGCTCTGCCCGAACAGAACTAACACAGCAATTTTATTATCTGCACATGTTGTTGGATGCTATATCCATACATGGTGATTTTGCAAAACAAACTGAATAAATGACAACTTTTTTGACAGATGTAGCCTCAACAAGATGACCCTTATCAATTGTCAAAGTTTGGAAGTACCTGGCTGGAAGGCCCTATACAAAATAATCAAAAAAACGCAAACTACTGAAAAACAATTTAGTTCAACAAGAAAAGAGGATTTGTTTTTGCGATTATCTCAAAAATTATTGCAAATATACCAAACTTTAAAGTTCCTTGAAGATAAAAAAATTCACCAAAACAATTCTCACCTCTCAAAACTGTAGCACCTAGAATAATAATTTAATTTCAGCGGTGCAAATACGAGTACAATCGGGTAGTTTGGTTCACGCACGCGTTGCCCGAATCCATAGCTTCAACAAAACAAATAATATTTTAACCCATCAAATATAAATATTGAGGAACGATAAAAAACAGGTACATGGTGGGTAGTTGAATGCACAAAATTTCCCTGGTAAAAATGTATCGTAATTATAATATTTTAACCCATCAAATATAAATATTGAGGAACGATAAAAAACAGGTACATTGTGGTTAGTTGAATGGACAAAATTTCCCTGGTAAAAATATATCGTAATTTTCCTATCTTCATGGTTCTTCCCAAATGATATCCCAAATGTTTTGATTCTTTGAAACCATTCTTTGAAGCACATCTACATTGTGGTTAGTTGAATGGACAAAATTTCCCTGGTAAAAATGTATCGTAATTTTTCTATCTTCATGGTTCTTCCCAAATGATATCCCAAATGTTTTGATTCTTTGAAACCATTCTTTGAAGGCTTCGGATAAGATCGCATCTATGATAATTGAATAAAATTAATTTTTCATTCATGTGATTTGAACGTCTGATGTAGAATAAGTTCAAAAACAAGCTCACTTCCCAATTACCAAAACTTCAGTACTCTTCTCGACGCGCATTTCACCAACCAAGTTGGATTCTTCAGGAGATGAGAAGGAGATGAACTTCATTCATCTCCAAAAGACGCCAAATTGGTTGGTGAGTCGCACAAAGAATTCTAAAGTTCTGGTGATTTGGAAAAGTGTTGGTTTTTGAATTTAAACAATCAAAGATGTTAGAGCGTTAATTGACGCTTGAGAAAGTTATTGTATAGCGAAACACGTGTCGCGGTTTTTGTAAAACCCTTTATGGTGGAAATCATACAATAAACTGTATTAATGAGTTCTGAAAATATACCTGACGGAAAAATATAACAATCGATTGGAACACTTTAACTTTTTGTGTATCTACCTCAAATGAAAATATCAACAATCGAAGCAACGTATTTATTCTCCTCAACAAGATATATTAAAAACCACCGGCCGGTGTTCCACTCACCCCTTTCTTTCATATATTTCCGAGTACTTCGCTAAATATTTGTCTTTGCATCCGGCCCAGCCAAACAGCAAAATAACTGGTACTTTTTTTTCATTCACAACAAACACAAAATCATTATCGTCAATTTGGTTGTAACAAAAACCTTGTTTTGGAAATTTTAGGAAATATTCCAGGTTGTCGAGCTCCGCCATTTCTGCTAGAACTGCGCGCGAACATCATTTATCGATTTGAATGTTCACCGAGAGTTGTCAGAAACGATAAAAACGTTTGATGGTTCACGCAGAACAGGATACAATGTCATAATTTTTTTTCGGGGTCAGGTGAGTTCGTATATCTAATTAATTCAAGTAGGTTACTGCTTGAATAATAATTCACCTTTGAGTTTCTTGCTCAGTCGAGCTATCGTTCGAAAATTCATAAAACAGTGAAGGCATCAAACAATCGGGCAATGCAACCGAGGCTAAGAGAATATTATCGAAACAGCAATACACCAGGTATATTCTATCTATCCCAACATCAAATCGTCACTTTCGTTATCATTGAAATTATTTTTCTCTAGTTATTTCCTGGGGTATTGTAAGGGCTGTTGATTTGGGACGCTAGGAAATAAAAAACTAAGGCCATATATTTTCCAACCCAACGGTGTCAAAACTATATTGCCCCACCAAAATCCAAGAGCCGGGAAATCAATGCGCATCATCGTTTCAGCTATTGGATCTCCTTCCTATCAAATAGCAAAATACCCACTTATGAATTTGAAAGCTTGCCTATTGCGGAGCCAGGTTTTAGTATCAAGAACCCCTTAGAATCATACAACAAACATCGTTCTGCAAGAAGGTGAGATTTAAGTTTCATCTGATGTTAGTGAGAGGACTGGTCATGAGGGGATGTCCACAGGGAGTGGTCTTATTACCCCATCTTTGGAACATAGTTCTGGATACCCTGAATAATCACCTCAACAATAATGGATTCTACACAATTGCATATGCAGATAACATAATTATCTTGTAGACCGGTAACACTGTGATAGAGCGCAGGATGAGCTTAAATTAACAGAAATATGGTTAAAGAAGGACTCACTGTCGATCCCAAGAAGGCTGAGATTATCTTTTTCACCTGGAAGAGAAGTTATTCGGGCTTGAAACCTCCAGAAATCTTCAAAAGCAAACTAACCTTCTCTGAAGAGGTGAAATCCCTTGGTACTATTCTCGACAGAAAGCTAACATGGAACTCTCACCTACCGAGTAGAGGAAAAAGAGAATATATGGCTTATGAGCAATGTCGGAGGAGTGTGAGACGCGCATGGGGTCTTTCACCCCGTGTGGTCACCTGGATCTACATTGCAATAATAAGATCTCTGTTAACGTACGGAGCCATTACATGGGGACCGAAAGTTTTACAAGCAACAGCCAGCCAAAAATTATATCAAATACAGCGATTGGCCTGTTTCAACATCACAGGAGTCATGAGAATGACATCAACCGCGGCAATGGAATCAATTACTGGTCTGACCCCTCTGGACCTGTACGTTTTAGGACCCAGTGACACCTACGGCCTGATGACTTCAACAATTGTGAAACCAGCCAAACTTCACATCCATGCTCAATCCCTAAAGAGATGGGATGGAATCAAAGAATGCTTTCTTGCCAGGATCACCCTGGGTGACCCTGGAGAAACTGTCGCCGAAGAAATTTCTGGCGATGACCAGAAAAAAATCTACGCTTAACAGTAGGATTTATGATTGGCCACTGACAACTAAGGAAACACATCTATAATATGGGGCTAGTGGACACACCTCTATGCAGGATGTGTGAACAGGAAGATGAAACTGTCAGGGATGTTCTATGCGAGTGTCCGAAGTTATCGTCAATAAGAGAGTGGCTGTTCAGCGAGTCTTGGCCTACACCTGCCGATATAAAGCAGATGTCTCCCAGTGACCTGTCCACCTTCCTGGAAAGGACAGGATTGACGATGACCTCCTCGGGAAGATGTACAATGGGTCACATGTGGCCTAAGTGCTGTGGGCCTACACTCACCCTCCCTGCTGTACATATACAGATAGTTCTTCATTTCCTAGTGTACCAATTCAACAAATCTCACAATACGTCAGGGAATTACTAGAGAAAAATAATTTCAATAATAACGAAGTTGATGAATTTGTTTCTTTCACTAATTTGTGTATGAAAGAAAACCGTTTCCAGGTAGGAAGTTGCTTTTATGAACAAGAGGGAACGGCTATGGGTAACACCTTGTTCCCCTATCTGGGTAACCCCTTGTTCCCCTATCTGGCTAACCTATTCATAAGCAAATTCAAAATGGAAACTAAAGAAACGTCGAAGTATTTCCCTAAGATATGACTGAGGTATGTGGATTATGTTTTTGCGATATTCGATAACAAAACGTCGAATATTGAAGACTTTGTTTTTTTTTGAATAACAGACTTCCATCAATGAAAATCACGTATAAGTTAGAAAATAAAGGACAACTTCCATTTCTTGACGTTTCGATAATGAGGAGTTGATGTGTGAAGTTAGAAAACGATGTATTTAGGAATGAAACAAGCACTTACAGGTGTGCTCTCCACAGTTCACATCACTGTGGATAGCACAAACGTGCTGGGTTGCATTTTTCAGTGCATCGTCTTTTGACGTTTCCTCTCACACATTAGGGGTTTATAAAAGTGAAAATACCGAAAGTAGCAGTCAGTAACGGTTTCTCGTGGGTTATTGTAGATGATATTATGAGAAAGAAAAAGTTTAGGTTAAGAATGAACGAAATCTCGACTTTTAGAATCGACGAAAATTAAGATAAATATATCTCAGTTTCATACCACCAATACACGAAGAACTTTGGAAAAATGTTCAAGGAACTAGGTATGAAGGTGGTATTTAAAACAAGTTATACACTACAGAGCCTAGAAGTCTGGAATAAGTCTGGAAATTACGAAATCAAATGCGATGCAAAGAACGACGGAAGAACAGAAAAATTAGCAGTTGCCCATCATGTTTTGCAACAAAACCATTCAATAGACTTCAGTTCATTAAGATTAGTTAGACAAATTAATAACAACAGGCATCTAGATGCCTATGCCTAGAAATAAGTCAACATAATAATATTATGAATAACGATGGTGGAACAATACCTAATAGTTTACTTTATGGCTTGTTGAAATAATCTTTTTAGTTATCAGAATTACCCGACTAGTAGATAAGGCAACAATGTAGAATTGATTTTAAAACAATTAGGACCCAGGTACCTAGAAGAGGTATCTATATTATAAATAAGGACAACATTGTATGTAGATTTAATTGAATCTTCCTGTTGAAGATGATCACATGGTAATTAAAACACGTGTCTAAGAGTTGAAAATAACGGTTCGGTGTTGGGATTAAACTCCAGTAATATTCATTATTACACCAAAGGTTCCAAAGTGTGCATCACTAGTACATACTGGGTATTGAGAAACTAAATATTCAGGCACCTGCCAGAAACCAATCACTTTTCTGGTTCAATACCGTGACTAACCTTCGATTATATTCAACAGATATTTTTTGTGCTAGTTTCCTCAAAAAAAAAATTGTTGAGATACTTCTCGTTCGTCCAGTAACAGCACCTCGCTGAATCCAATTAGGCGATCACCTTCAAACTGATTTCGAAATATTTCTTCTCGTCGTTGCAGAACAAATCTAACTAGGACAGTAGTGATTTCAATTGATTTCACAGGCGCCCCACTGCATATACCAAATCTTCTTCTGAGACGGAATTTCTTGCTTAAAAATGAAATCAGAGCTTTAAAACGAAGCATTCGTAATTCCACACCACCAGACAATAATGTTCCTTCCGGCCATAGGTATCATCACTGGTCTGAGTGAGTAGAGGCAATGATATCTCATCTGACGAAAAAGTTTTCTATTAGATCGACAAAATACTCAATTTATGAATATCACAGATAATCGGGGCTCTACAAGGCGATCAGTATCAAAGTCGAATATTAAAAAAAAAATTCAAATTCACCTATTTGGTTATTGAATACTTCAAATATAGGACGAACATGGATGAGAAAAAAAGCAAAAATACTAATAATTCCTAATTGTTTAGGAATGTGGGTATTCACGGGGGCGTCAATATTTTGGTTGGTTTCCAAGATTTGCCGTGATCTACTTTGGTTACAATCATCAAACGTTTCAACTGCAACTGTGGCAGTCATCTTCAGTGGCGTGGTCAAGGTACTCTTCTTGACGTATCAACTGAAACTTAAGCTCTCATTTCTGCCATGACATTTATAGTGCTATTTTCCTGCGTACTTTCGTAATGGCGGATTTGCGCATACTTCCCGCGCGATTTGGGTAACTTGGTTTCATTTTGTCGCCTTTCAAAGCTGTGTGCCAGATCCTTGGTAGATATGTTCTCTCTTCTTTTGTGTTGACTCCTAATGCCATTCCTTGATGTTTTAGTCATCAAGGGAATCAACTAGGCCATAATACCTGCACAATAGATCCAACCATACGCATTCAAGGGGGAAGGAGAGGAACACTACTGAAAGGCAACTCCAAGGCAATATCTACCTGCCATACATAGAAGGTATCACCAACCAAATCGAAAAAATTCTAATGAAGGAAAAAATCAACACCATCTTCAAACCAACGAAGAAAATATTGGAGTATTTAGGATCAGTATTTGAGACAGCGGAGATCCACTCAAATCAGCGGTAGTTTACAGGTTTCCTTGCAACTGTGGTGAAGTTTATATCGGTCGGACGAAAAGGAGTATTGGCACCCGCGTAGTACGCGCGAACCCCGCCGTTACAGAAAGTGGGAAGAAAATCAGTACTATGAATGATATGGCAGAAGTGAGAGCTGCAGTTTCAGTTGATGCGTCAAGAAGAGTACTTCGACGACGCCACTGAAGATGACTGCCGCAGTTGCATTTGAAACGTTTGGAATCTGTAACCAAAAAAAACACGGCAAAACACAAAAAAAATGAACTAGCCAATCAAATACCTACTCTCCTGAGTTTTTGAACCAGATTCCACAACTCAATTTGCCAAAAGGGTATTCTTGAAACAGGCTTTAACTTTACGAATATAACTATTATTGGTCTAAAGTGGTGGAGAACTTCCATAAACTTCATTCTTTTCTTGTGTATCGTCCTCATTTTCGCTTTATCTTCTTCTAAATTCATTTTCTCAGGGGGTAGACATAGATCCAAATTTTTACTGTAATTCATCTCCGAAGGATACACTCATTGTAATG